CTGAAAATCAAGCCCTTTATAGTACATATTAAAGGAACTGGGTATGTTTAGCTTATAGAAAAAAAGACTGGGGAATGATCTGAGGAGATTGGAAGTCAGGAAAGCTAAGGTTCAAAATGAACTAAGATTTGCAACAAATGTCAAAAATAATAAAAAGGAAGATCTTTCAACATGTAACAAACAAGAAAAAAAGTCAGGGAAATGATTGGTCCACAGATGGGAGAAGATAGCAAGGCGGTGATAGGTAGCAGGGAGAAAGCAGAACTGCTAATTCATTCTTTGTATGTATCTTTAGACAAAAGGAAAACCAATCAAAAGCAGTCCCATAGAAAACAGAATAGGAATACAAGTTAAAATAGGCAAGAAAATAGTAAGAGAATACCTGTCTACTCTGGGTGAGCTCAAAAGACCAGGATCAGATGGATTATATTCCAGAGTTCTGAAGGAGCTGGCAGACGTCATCTTGGAACTACTGAACCATATCTTTCAAAGATCCTGGAGCACTAGTGGACTACCAGAAATGGAAAAGAGCTAATATGGTTCTAATTTTCAAAGAGGGGAAAAAATGGATCCAGGAAACTACAGACCAATCAACCTGACAACAATATCTGGGAAGATCTTGGAAAAGTTAATCAAGTAACAGATCTGCAAACACTTAGAAACAAGCAAAGCTAACAGAAGCCAACATAGGTTTGTCAAAAACATCATGCCAGACAAAGCTGAGTAAATTAGTGAATCAGAAATACTGTGGACATAGCTTACTTAGACTTCAGTAAGGCATTTGACACAGTAGACCACAATCATCTACTTGGTGAAAAAGAAAAATATGGACTTGACAACATCACCAACAGATGGATTTGCAGTTTGCTGACCAATCGCACTAAATGTGGAGTCTTCAATGGAGGGAAGCACGCAGTAGAGTACCACAAAGTTCTGTCTTGGATCCAGTACTCTTCAACATCTTCATAATCTGATGAGAGGATAAAAGGAGAGCTCATTTAATTTGCAGATGACACCATACTGGAGGAATAGCCAACATGCTAGAAGATGGGTGAATTCCACTATGTATTTTTTTGAGGACATCAGCTATATTTTTTTTCCTTTGGATTCTTTTTTAAGGAAGTGAGATGGGTGGACCTATCAATTGTTTCAACCAACCAACCAATCCCCCGTCATCATAGATCAGATAAAAAGTCTGTAGTAATTACCTAAATACTTCCACACAAAACAGAGGTCCTGGGTTCCTGTTATTACTCAGAAGATGGTATTTAAGGCAGGTTGCTATCTGGAATAGTGAAGGTAACTAAACCATCAAGGCTAGTTGCTGCTGATTCTACTGCCCTTTATATTCTTTTTTTTTTTATTAAAAAGTTTTATAAATTTTACAGAAAATAAAAGACAATACAAAAACAAAAAACAACATATACAAATAAAAAACAAACATTACCCAACAAAACCCCCCTTCCCCCACCCCTACCCAACCCCCCCTTCCCCCCCCAGGGCCTCCCAGAGCAGAATATAGGCTTAATTAAAAAAAAGTTAAAAAAATTTATATTTATAAAAAAAGAGAATATAAAATAGAAAATATATATATAGAGAGAGTTAAAAATTATGAAAAAACTATATAGTATTTTTTTATATCAAATTTAAATTGTATGAATTTTATCCATTTATCCCAAACAGCAAGAAATTTCTCTTGCGTTTGTCCCTTTAAGAAAGCCGAAATCTTTGCCATTTCCGCCAAATGAGACACTTTAAGAAACCATTCCTGCAATGTAGGCAAAGATTCCTTCTTCCAATATTGTCCTACTAACAGCCTCGCAGCTGTAATCAAATTTAACATCAATATAACCTCCTTTGTATCACAATCAATAACTATACCTAACAAAAATAATTGTGGAGTAAATTTTACCCTCCTTTTAAAAATTCTCTGGATATTCCACCATATCTTAATCCAGAATGCTTTTATCTCTCTACACGACCACCAAATATGATAATAAGTAGCGTCCATACAACCACATCTCCAACATTTAGGTTGTAAGTCAGGGTACATAAAAGACATTTTTTGTGGATCAAGGTGCCATCTATAAAACATTTTATAAAAATTCTCCCTTAAGTTCTGTGCTTGTGTAAATTTGACATTTCTCACCCAAATAGTTTCCCAGGTGTCCAATGGAACTGGCTCGCCAAAATTCTGCGCCCATCTAATCATACAATCTTTAATTAGTTCCGTTTCTGAATCCAATTCAACTAAAACCCCATAAATTCTCTTAATGTGGGTTTGTCTTTGATCCTTCACTTGCTTAATAAGATTTTCATCTTCTCTGAGAAAACCCACCTTACAGTCCATCTTCCATCTATCTGATAATTGCCTATATTGGAACCAAGAATAAATAATATTTTCTTGTGCTAACTCTTCCCGTGATTTTAACTGCCAGTTTTGTCCATCCCATTTAAGTAACTGTCTATAAGACACCATATCCATTTTAACCCCTCTTTTTATTCCTTCTATTGCATGCCAAGGTATAGCCCATAATGGTACTTTGAAATCACTTTTATAATATTTTCTCCAAATCCTAAGTAAAGAAGTTCTTAAGATATGAGATTTAAAAGCCCAATCCATTTTTTTATTAAATATTAAATAGGCATGCCACCCAAAAAGTAGATTCCATCCCTCTAAGTGGAGTATATCAGAATTTGTCAAATTTACCCAGTCACTAACTAATGTTAAAACCACCGCATCATAATATAATTTCAAATTCGGCACCTTGAGTCCTCCCCTCTCACGGAAATCTTGCATAATTTTAAACTTAACCCTTGGCTTTTTCCCTGCCCAAATAAATTTATTAAGGCCTTTCTGCCACTCAGTTAAATTGATCTCATTCTTCAAAATCGGTATCATTTGGAACAAAAAGAGAAACTTGGGTAGAATATTCATTTTTATCACTGCAATTCTTCCCATGAGGGATAATTGCAACTTTTCCCAATTCTTCAAGTCTCTCTGTACCCTAACCCACAACCTTTCATAATTATTTTTAAATAATTTTGCATTAGAAACAGATAACATCACCCCCAAATATTTTACCTTATTAACAATTTCAAAGCCCGTCAAATTAACCAAAGTCTGCTTCTCCCGACTAGTCATATTTTTAGGTAGAATTTTAGTCTTATTAACATTAATCTTAAAACCCGAAACCAAACCATAATTATGAATCAACTATAATGATTTTACTACAGAATAAGTAGGTTGCGACAAAGTGATGACCGAGTCATCCGCAAAAGCTCTTAACTTATACTCTTTTTTTATTAACTTCTATTCCTTTAATTTCCTGCGACTCTCGAATTTTGATCAACAGTATTTCCAGTGTTAAGACAAACAGCAACGGTGATAGTGGGCAACCCTGTCTAGTACCTTTCTCTATTGTAAAAACCTCTGACAAGCCTCCATTAACGATAAGTTGTGCCGTTTGTTTTTGATATATTACCATAAGAGCTTGCAATATCTTTTCACCAAAATTCATCTCTTCCATTACTCTTAACATAAAATGCCAATTCAATTGATCAAAGGCTTTTTCAGCATCTAAAAATATCAGCCCTGCAGGAACTTGGTTGTTTTTATCTAAATATTCTAATAAATTAATAATTTGTCTGACATTATTTTTCATGTACCTTCCAGTTATGGACTGCCCTTTATATTCTTATTCTTTTAAAATTTACTAAAATTTACACTCCAATACATCTGAATATATCAAGCTGTGCTAGGTTTAACCTAGTGGAAAGTAAGCATGCATAAAGATTATAATTGAATAATTCCAATTTTCATAAATGTTTGAAACAGAATATAACCAGTAAGAGAAAAACAAGACAAACAAAGCCATGAATTCATAGATGACCAGGTTGAGCCTGAGGGAGGGGTCAAAGGCATCATCAGTACTGAGTCCCTTCACACCCAAAAGAAATCTAAGTTCAGTCCACCTTGAATTCCATTGACTCTTATCTACCATCAGTTTGCTTTGACCATTAGTAATTCAGATTCTTATAGAGAGCATAAGCTTGGAATATGCCTTTATAGTCACTTGAACTGCCTGGACTTCTGATTTCCTGCACTTAGCAGAATGTGCCCTCCATCCATTATAACTACAGTATATTCCTCATAATGTTCTCCAAGAAATTAATTGGATGCAACAAACTCCTAACTGGTGGCATTATTTTTACACTTTGTGGAATTCTACATCTTCTCAAACCTATCCGAAAAAAGAAACAAAACAGATCCAAATCTGGGATTTTACAGGAATTTTAATATTAAACTATTCAAATGTGTTGTCTAGACCATCAAAGACAATTTTGTACAGATGAGTCAGCTGTCTGTAAGCTACAGTATCACCAATAATAACCTGTTTGTCAAGAAATATATCCACAGTCAATTACCTTAATTATGTATTAATATCAAAGGAGAGGTAGATGGGTAAGCTGGTGAGATGTTATTAATCTTTTTTTAAGAGGAAGAAATGGAACTGGCAAGTCTGAAGAGGTCTAGCTAGGCATATATTTTGATTGTTTTGCAGAAGGGGGATGAGGAAGACAGTAAAATATCTTGGAACCATATAATTAACAACACTGTACACATTTATTCATTTATGAAATTTGTCTACATCCTAAAACTATCTAGACCCTAGCACCTTGCCAAATTCAGAGTGAAAATTCAGTATAGAATAAGAGTTAATTAAAATAGCAATTCCAATTCACAATTCAGCTAATATTAGAAGTAAAAGACTACAATTATGAAAAATGGGATTGCTGGGTACAATTAATCTTCAAGATCCTCTGGAAGTGCTTCACCTGCTGTCAGGGCGCTTCAAATGTATTTGTCTCCACCTTACCTCTTTCATTTATTCCTTCCCTGCTTGAGCTTATGTATTCATTTACAGGGCCTGCCATTCTGTTGGGGTGGGGTGCTTGCATGGGGAGGGGGAATGTTATCTGCTTTGCTCTGCTCTGTACAGGGTGCCCTCCCTCTGGGTGAGAGGAATGTGACCTGAAAACATATGCCTTATCTCCAGACAATGGAACCTAGGACCATTGGGAAATGAAACTGAGAGAGAGAGAGAGAGAGAGACCTTGAGAAGCTGGCTAAATCTCCAGATTCTCATAACAAACTGACACCTGTGGATTGATTGGATTTCAACCAGACAGTTGGACTTGGGTGAGGGGTAGGAGTCCTGAATTTCCTTTTTTATGTAATCCTTTACGTGCTAAATCTTTAGACCTTGCTTTGCTCTCTTGTGATCACTAACTCAATAAAAAGTTCCTTCTGGGACAATGCCTGTTTCAAGAGTTCTGCTTTCTTGGGAGATCTAGTTGAGGCAGGTCAATGTCTTGCATGCGCATCTAATATTTGGCTAAATGTTATGTGCTCCTAAAGTGTCTTGTAAGGAAAGAACCCTCAGAGGGATTTAAGGCATGATTTAATTAATCCTGAATTCCATTCTGTCTCATGCATCACTATATGGGAAAACATATGTACAAAACCAATCACTTTATTTGGAGAGAAGTCTTGTGGCGTCTGAAAGGGGCAGCCATTAGTAATAAAAATACACGAGAGGCAAACGCGATTCTAGGTCATGTACATCTAAGAAACTTCCATTCATTATTGAAGCTGCTCGTTTCTCTTCGAATAGCAACCCAGCTTCAGGCTTGATGTTCCAGCTTTATTCCACCAGCCGCCTTTTGAAGCCTTTGTTTTCCTCTGAAGAAGCGACCAGCTGCTCCCAGCAGCTTGAACCAAGCCCTCTTGTTCAGTTGATGCTTCTGCCCGCAATATCGTCGCCGAATCGGATTCGCCGAAACGTGCACTCAGCTTCGCGCACAGAAGGAATGAGGTGTACAGCAGGGAGTGCGGAGCACCTGTCTTCCAGTCCCGGACCAGCCACCTCGAGAAGAACCGGCGAGAAGCAGCACAGCGGCAGGAGGGGAGCGCTTGCCTGGCTTGGTCAGATCGCGAGGGTGAGAGCAATAGACTCAGCCCAATCTTGTCCCCCCCCCCCCCGCGTCAGCATGATTTTTTTCATTTAAAAAGAAGACGAGTAAGAGGTGTCCGTGTCCTTTCCCCTTTTTATCGATCCAATACTATATCAGACAAACGCAAAGCAAGAGGAGCCAGATTGCTAGAAGAGAAAGTTAATGCAAAGAGGCGATTCTGCTATAAGGTGGAGGGACGTTCCACGAAGTCGTTGCAAATTTCAGGCAAGCGAGCTAAGAAAATGAAATCGGACGGGGTGGAGAATGGAAGAAACACTTAACCGATGGCGGAGACCCGTCTTTCCTGAGTTTTGCAATGTTGCAGAGACCGTGTTCCTTCAAACCATCAAATATGGATTAATTGGCAACAAAGGCTCCCTCAAGGTTACAATTCTTCATCGTACGTTCGTTGTCAGGGCTGGACTCTCTTTTGTTCTTTCTGCTAACTGATATAAGTTAAAATACTTTGTCTAAATATCCTCTTCCCCTCCATTCTCGCATAATAGCAAGTCAGGGCAAATTTCAACAGGAAAAAAAAGATTCTTTCTGATAACATCTACACTCATAAACAACTTTCTCAAGGTCAGGTATACAGTTGTAGGGACCAATAGGAGCAGTTCTCCAGTTTTGCTACACGCCCCGCCCAGAGACCCTTTCGGTGACTGCAGGGTGAGGAGAGGGAGGAGGAGGGGCTTGCCCAAAGCCGGCCCTCCACCTGAGCTCCCCTGCCTTCGCCTTAATTGCACGACAATTGCCGCAAGTAGCAGAGTTAAGGGTTACATGGGGAGCCTCGCATGTCCGACAAGGGCTGCTGTGATCAAAACTTAACTTGAACCCGGGGAGAGTGAGTACAGCTACAGAAGGTAAAACCAACTTTTTCTTTTTTTCTCTCTCACGCTTGTGCTAGGCCGAATAATTTTTACACATATGTTTACACAATTTCTAGCTTTGTTACTCATTAATAACAGTAAAGATTAAGGACAATTGTATTGGTTTAAGCATGTGCACAATTTCTGTCACATTTAATCTGGATTCCTAGGCCAGGCTGGATTCCTGAGTGGCATTACTCAGGCATCATTTTTATTTTATGTCATTTGACGGTACAGCAAATAAATACAGTTTTTATTTTCAAAATACCTGATTTTTGTAGTTCATTTTTCACACTTTTGCAAAAATCAGCATTTTTTAAATAAATGTGTACAATAGCTGGTATTTTGGTTATAGCTGTGCCATGTGGGTGAACAAAGACTTCCTTCAGCTATTTTCATTCTTTTTATATGCATGCATTATAATTTATGAGATAGATAGATAGATAGATAGATAGATAGATAGATAGATAGATAGATAGATAGATAGATAGATAGATAGATACTAAACAAGAGGCCATGTGAGTTAAATTATTACAGTCTAATAATTTTGCTCATGATTCCTATCAGTCAACTCAGGACTTTTAAGGGTAGAGAAATTTCTGTCAAGTAATTCTCAGCTGTTGCTGCATATATCTGAGTCTCAGTTTTTGAGATCAACCTTACTTCCTATACCAGGCCTAACTAAGCTCTGCTCAGATCATGTGGTTGAATCAAGGCTTAGAATGTGCTGTGGAGATGGGGTCCAATTATTCCAAGTTATATGAGAATAATTTTGATTATGAGAGCCAAGAACGACAACAACTGATTCTGAGGGATCTCTGTACTTCAACAATTGTAAGTATCTATAAATAATGATCTATAAAGCCAAACACACACAAACTGTGTAATTGGCTCATTCAAATTGTGTTTGTGTGTGTGTGTGTTTGTGTATGCGTGTGCAAGTAATTTGCAGTACTCAGAACAATAAAATGTTCTTGCCTGATCTTAAGCTATATAATTTAAAAATAACAGGAAAATATCAGCTGTATTGCTGCCCTCTCTGGAGTTATAATACTGATGGTTTTCTCTTAATTTTTCCTGTTTGGGCACAAGCCATTTCTGACAAAATAGAATGGGAATTATATACCATCATTCAAACAAGTTTAAAAAATCTAACTGTTGAGTCAGTATATACTGTATAGACATACGATGTAAAATGTAAGAACATCCAGAAGAAAAGTGCAGCATGAAATGTGACACAGTTTTCTTTTGTTGATAAAATTGTTAAGTAGCACTGGGCCACATATGGAGCTTTTGGAGTATCTGTTCATTGTAATCTCCCAGCAAGAGAGGTCCGAAATCTGTTGGACCTCCTGCTTCCAGATAAAGTAACTGGTGCAGCTGAAATCTTCTATTAGCATTACACGTTGCCTTCTTGAGAATTTGACAAATTGATTCAGAAACATATTGTCCATTGCTTAGGTAGGTGGTAGTAGTAAATTTCTATTTTTATTTTTTTTAATTCCACCAAATTTTTATATTTTTATATTTCTTTAATTTTTTATATTTAGAGTTATTCATTTCTCCATGGGCAATGTGGATTCTTTATATCAGCCTTTCATCAAACTATGCAGGGAAATGAAATAAAGAATTAATATGCAGTATTTTATCCATATAATCAAGCCCTAAAAACTTCAAAACATGCTTTGTTTTGTAAGTCACTTGAATTATGTTGCCTCTGTTTTTGACCAGGTCAATTTAGGGATTGGCTTAATTGTGGTGTAACATCAAGTTTAGTCTACATTGTAAACAAATGCAAGAGTTGCGTGAAACATATCCAGTATTATAGAAATAATACAGACTGTTGACTCAGTTATAAAACAAGTAATCTTTAAAAGTAGAAAAGATAGGTTTTCCCACACTGAAGTATATTTTTTTCTTTTACCCAGAAATGGTTAAGACAAAGGCACTTCTGTTCTTGGTATATGAGATATAAAATATTACAGTGGATTCACAGTGAATTCTTATGAGGCAGGCCGCCTCACCTTTTTGGGAGAGAAATTTCCAAAGAGTTCTTACTCCTTTCACCTTACTTTTTCTTCAGCCATTTCCAGAGACCCGCTGTAAGAACACCTCTTCTTTTTCAGTGGCCCTCTTGGCGATTGTCTGGGCCTTTAACACCAGTGGAGTTCTGCTCAGTTTTTTCCTCATCGTCTTCACAATTCGATTCAGAAAAAATAGGTAAGGCCAAGTCAGTCCTATATTTTTACTCTCTGGGTAAGATCTTCTGATTCTTTGTCATTCAAGAATTTCGCAAGAGAAGAATCTTGGTTTTGTTTACAGCAGTTTTATACTTTCAGGGTCTGCAGTGAACATGGCTGTGGATTCCTTATTGTCACTCATGAGGATGAGGTCAAACCTCCCAAACACAGAGAGGGCAATAAATGGGCCTTGATAAGGCTCTGGAAGTTTTAAGGGCCAGATTTTCTATAAATGCTCACATAATGAAAATTTAAAACTAAGGAATGAGCAGGTTTTTATATTTATTGTTCTGCCTATTCTCCCTAGAGCAAGGGTCCCCAACCCCCGATCCATGGACCAGTACCGGGCCGCAGCATGCCAGCAACTGGTCTGCACAAATAACCAAAGCCCCATCCGTGAGATGCAGTCAGCACACAAAACCACACACTCTCGAGTCCGTAATAAAACTTCTCTCCACAGAACCAGTCCCCGGTGCCTAAAAGGTTAGGGATCTCTGCCCTAGAGAAAATCTTACAATATGTTTATTTCATTAATTCTTACATTTCTGAATTGACAAGGATCTTTAACATCTCCCTGCAAACAGCCTGTGTTCCATCATGCTTGAAAGTAGCCACTATTGTCCCAGTCCTGAAGAAAACAGCAATTAATTGCTTAAACAACTACAGACCTATCGCATTAATGTCTGTAGTGATGAAATGCTTCGAAATTGGTCCTCCAACACCTTAGGACATGCCTCCCATCGGACTTTGACAAACATCAGTTTGCCTACAGGGGGAATAGGTCGACAGATGATGCCGTAGCTACTGCCTTACATTCTGTAGCGAGCCATCTGGAGAAACGCAGAAACTATGTCAGGACGCTTTTAATTGACTACAGCTCAGCTTTCAGTTCTGTTCTGCCGAGCATCCTTATTGAAAAGCTGACTGACTTGGATTTCCCCCCCTCCATCTGTGACTGGATCAAAGACTTTCTGAGGGACTGGCCACAAACAGTGAGGGTCGGGTCTGTCACATCCACCTCCCTGAAGCTTTGCACTGGCTCGCCAGGGCTGTGTGCTCAGTCCCTACCTGTATTCACTGTACACACATGATTGTGTATCGTCTGACCCATCCACTGCGATCATTAAGTTTGCAGATGATACCACCGTATTGGGTCTTATTACAGGTGGAGACAAAACAGCGTACAAAAACTATTCTCATGGTGTCTAGAAAACAATTTGCACCTGAACATTGGCAAGACAAAGGAGATAGTGTTAGACTTCCAGAAGAAAAGAGAGGAACCTGCCCCACTTTACATCAGGTGTGTGTATGTGCGTGGAGTTTCCTTCTTTAAATTCCTGGGAGTCTACCTCAGTGAAGATCTCACCTGGAAAATCAATACAACCCAGGTGGCCAGAAAGGCCCAACAGAGACTCTACTTCCTTAGGGTCTTGCGAAAGAACAAAGTGGAACAACAACTGATGATCTTCTTTCACCGGTCCACTATAGAAAGTGTCCTCTCACATTGCATTATGGTGTGGTATGCTGGCTTGACAGCCGCAGATAGAAAGACATTACAGAGGGTGGTGAGCACAGCACAAAACATCGTGGGCTGTCACCTGACACCACTAGATGACATTGCTAGGGCCCGCTGCCTTAGAAGAGTGAGGAAAATCCTCAGGGACGACTCACACCCTGGTCAGCACTTCTTTACTCTCCTACCATCAGGCAGGAGATATAGAAGCATAGCCAGTTGCACCAACAGGATGAAGAACAGTTTCTACCCATGGGCTGTCAGACTTTTGAGTGGGAAATAACTCCATGTATGATAGACTTGTGGGGCTGGCGCGTTGTGCAATAATTTCACATGGTGCAATAAGATTGTGTGTTGTCACTTTTGAATTGTGTCGGGGGGGTGCACGAAGGGAGGCTTAGCCAATCTTATTGTACACATGTACTTTGACAATAAAGGTTGATTTGATTTGATTAATTTGATTTGCATATATAGCAGAAAATAATTACCAAGGTAGTCCCAGACAAAGAAATGGTTTGAAAGGTTCAGAATAAATTATTATATGAAGTAATTGAAAGCAGAATGAGCCAATCACCTCACAGGCCAAATGCTGAATAGTGGTAGCAGGTATTTGATTTGTTGACCTGTATCCTTAGAGCCTGGGTATTGTGTTCAGATTTGAATGACAAGATTGTGTCCTTACCGCTGATGAAGAAAAACTCAGCTGCCTATCTAATCAGCTGTTGCATGTGAGGAGCCTCCTATTTCCTCAAGTAGCAAAACATCTAACTTGTGCTTAGTGGGATGAGTTTTTCAAGGATTAGCATGGATAATGTGAGCTTATGCAAGAGTTAAGAACATTTTGCCCCATTAAATGCCACCAAAATACAAAAAAGGGGCTGCATTTTTTTTCTTCTGTTCGTTTTGGGAATGAAAAAGAGGTGTTGGTAGGCTGCACAAGGTTCACAGTTTTTGCATCATTGCTCTAAAATAGCAGATGTCCAGCTAGCAAATCCAAGAAAGGAACTCCTGGAACATTGTTCTTTCCAAAAGTAATACTTTTATTGAATACACTACATTGGCTTAAATGAAGCAAAACCGGCTCTGAATTTCCTGCTCAAAGGTCCATATAATTAAACATGAATTTCTCCTTTGGCTATTCTCCTTAGTCCATTGCATTGTCCAATCATCTACACTCCATTTGTTATGGGAGCTGTCTGGATCATTCAGACACCTGTGCAGCGTGTCCTTGAAGGGGGAAGCAGGGCCTCAGGATCTGCAGACAGATTCTTAGCATTCCATTCCCACCCCAGACAATTCAACCACCCCCTCCCTATTATTGTCAAGTTGAGAGCAGAGAAGAAACTAGGTGAAAAGTGAATCATTCTTGACATAAAAGATCACTCAAGCTTGAGGAAACAATTACTAAGTACGATAGTTAATTATCCTGAATTTCTTGACAACTTTAGAAACCTTTGACAATAGGACCCTTCTGCACCAGAATTAGAGGTGGGGATTAGGGACGCTATGCTTCAGAATTCTATTCCTAGTGGAAGAAAATGTCATTTTTAAGATGATACTTCAGGGAATGTAATTAACTTGGAAGGAGGGAGCATTTTGGTTCCGGCTGATACTTTTTCAGTCAGGAAGAAAAGCAGAATAGTGAAATCTAGGTACAGTGTGTCAAGAAACAAACTCTTGTAGCACATGTTGGAAGGAAAGGAAAGGATAAAGAAAACACAGTTACTTCTTTCAATAACTCCTTTTCTCATATTCTCTCCTTTATCCATTATCTTCTGCAGGATTGTGAAAATGTCTAGTCCAAACTTGAATGTTGTGACTCTCCTGGGCAGTGGCTTGATTTACGGCAGTGTGTATCTCTTTGGAATTGAAAAACAGAATCCACTGAGCAGACCATCCTTAGAGATGCTGATTCAAGTAGGTGAATGCACGTTTTGAGAACAATTGTGAGATTTACTATGTATTGATCTTAGTGATACAGTTACACAGCAGATTACTGATATACAGAGGAATATGTGGAAATGAATAAGATTTTATTTTTCAGTATTTTCCTTTCAGAAGCAACCTTTCTGAAGCCTTTAAACATTTTTTTTAAGTTTCTAGCATTTAAAATTCCAGATTCCTGTCAATTAGCACATAATGCAAAAAGGAAAAAAAAGATTTTTTTAAAAAAAATGAAAGGAGAAAAAGAAAAGAAAAAAGCCTTTCCAAAAACTAAGTAGATTGTATCTAGTGAGTTAAAGTGAGAGACTCCTGTTAAATTCACGTTGAATTTCAGCACAAAAATCATGCTTGGGTTTGTAAAATATGCTTAATATTAACCCGAGTAGTTTCTTACCTTTCAATCTGATAGCACATAATCACAGCAACTGGGTCAAGAGCCACATTTGGGAGTATACAGAGAACCCCCCCCCAATTTTCTTCAGGCCTGCCTAGTATTTTCTTTGTATTTGTACTTGAACAGTACTATTGAGGTTGTGTTATGCCAATAGACCAGGGGTCCCCAACCCCTGGTCCGTGGACTGGTACCGGGCTGCGGCATGCCAGCAACCAGGTCGCATAAACAAGCAAAGCCCCATCTGCGTGATGCAGGCAGCACACAAAACCATGTCCCCTTCGGTCCGCAGAAAAACCTCTCTCCATGTAACCGTTCCCTGGTGCCCAAAAAGTTGGGGACCTCTGCAATAGACCCTTCACAGTTTAGCTCCATTTAGTTTTCTGTATCTTCTGGTGCCATCTGGTGTTTACCTGCAATGTTGCAGCCCAAGTATGCTAATCCTAGATATGGAGATTCTCAGTTATCCAGATCATAGTTGTCTCATAGGTGCTTTTTCAAAAGGCAACTGGGCTGTTTTTTCACTGAGGAAGAAGAAGTTTTGCTTCTCATGCAAGAAGGTTCATCAGTTCTGGCAGGATGCTGGGGTCAATAGAAGAATTAGTTCTGACAGGATGGGTGGGGGTAGAAGGATCATATTTCTTTGCAGTCGTCTGGTCGTTAGCATTCTTCCTGAGAGCTCTTGAGGCCACTGGCACCAGTCTGCGGCATGCCAGAAACCGATCCATGCAAACAAGCGAAGCAGTATCTGCAGGATGCAGGCAGCATGCAAAACCATGCCACCTCCGGTCCACAAAAAAAACCTCTCTCCACGGAACTGGTCCTTGGTGCCCAAAAGATTGGGGACCTCTGCACTAGGGGATTTATCTGTGCCCTCAGGGTCACCTGTATCAGAGTACAAATGAGGTGAAATCTTTTGGAACTACTGAAAAGATTGCTTTGTAGAGAGGAGATGTGTCTTATCTGTTGAGAGAGGGCTGCTTGGTGTTAAAATGACCTCTTTTACTCCTCTTTCAAAGGAATGGCCCTCTGTATCCAGAATGTGGGTAGATATACGGCAATATATCACATAGCTGTTCTCAGTTTTTTGGTGCAGACATTTGTGAGAGGATGGTAGAAAGCTTCCCCTCAACCCATTGAGGAAATGCGTAACAAAGTCTGCACGTTTTATATAGCTTGAGGCTTTAAACAAAAAAGAGAATGTAAGATTCTGCCACTTGTTGGTTGGGGATGAGATGAAGTAACTGGGACACAGCAGGAAAATGGTGTTGCTATGGTATGTTTATGCCATAGTCCGGTGCAAGTGGTGCACAAATTAAATCTTTATATTTACAGAATATGAACAGTCCATAATGTAAGAACAAGGGAAATATTAATTTAGCCTAAACTTTACAGTACTGCAACCTCCTAAAATAATACATGGCTTTGTACACCCCCTGAATAAAATTAATGATCATTTTGGAGATGGGGTTGGATGAGAAACATACCATTTATTTTTAATCTTTAATCTGTATATCCCAGTTCTTCAAATTTGCAGTACTGCATCTACCTACTTCAAATTTGCATAAGTGAAGTAAGGGGCAAAGTTCAGAGCAATGTTTGATCGACTCCCACTCTGCCTGATTTTAAAATCTCATCTGATTTTAAAAAAATGTAACTCTTTGCTGAAATTGCTTGTGTCTCCTGGGAGGGAGTTCAAATTCATAATTGGAGAACTCCTGTCCTAGCAAGTGATCAGATGAAACAGGTTTATATAGGACTGCCACTTCCTATGTCTGGTCATCTGTTAAATCATTGGCTAGGTTCAGATAATTTTCTAGGCCACAACCAAACAAACTAAATTTTGGTGTTACATAATTATAGCCACTATAGTTTGTAATGATAATTTATAACTGATGTGAATCCAGTCATTCTGGTTTGTTCAGTAAATAATGGGGGCCTAATACTTTGGGTGAACGTAGTTCAGTAGGTTCTTCATCCCAAGAAGCTTTAGGAATAAACATTCAGGCAGTCAGATGATAACAGATGTATATTGTGATGCACCCCCTCACTTCATACTTAGGTTCTGATGCGAATAGGTGACTCACAGTTATCATGGTTCCTGTTTTATCCCTTGTCCCTAACCTTCCCTTGTTAATAACAATAATAATAGTAGTAGTAGTAGTAGTAATAATAGTAATAATAATAATAATAATAATAATAATAATAATAATAATAATAATCTAGAATTGGAAGGGACCTTGCAGGTCTTCTAGTCCAACCCTGTGCTCAGGCACGAAACCCTATACCATTTCAGACTTAAGTGTACATGTTTTTAAAACAAGTTTTTAAATGTGGCTTTCTCTGTAACAGGTTACAGTAACTATTATCTATCCAGTTATGGTTACAGTTTGAATTTTAGAAACAACCTGAAGCTTTAATTATGAATTTGTTGGGTCAGTTATCTTCCGTTTGTATACTGTACTTATCCTTTTGAAAATATGCTGTGTCTTCTAGAATAGGTTGCATATCACTCATCCAGGAATATTACAAATCTCCGCTACCATGTAATTTTACATTTAGACTGATGGATCTTTCCCATGCCAACAGGTGAGAATTTGTATATTGTACATAAGTGGTTCCTTGGTTTTGGGCCCTATCCTGGGAAAGAGTTGGCGTTTATACAGAGTGTTCACTCAAAAGGTACCAGACAAAAGAGTGGTAAGTCTTGCACACAGAAAGAGGAGCAAAGCTGAACTTTTGGTGGTATTCTTGTTGTTGCCATGCTGAGGTTTGTGTGCAGGCTGTGTTTTTTTTAATCGCTCTTGCTTGAGCGTGCTTCTGGGCACAAATTTGATCAGCATCTACTGCAGCCTGTTTCTATTTAAACACATAGAAACCAGGCTTGATTAGACATCGTGGTTTTATTATTCAATTTTTGCTTCATCCTTCCTCCCAGTCACTGGTTCAAGCAAGCCATTACTTTCCTCACCCTCATAAGTAGGAAGGCTCTATCATGTTACTCAAAACTGAAGTAGTTGCAAAAAGCAAAAGATGTCTGGTTGAAAGCCTAAAAGAAGCAACAATAGCGCTTTGCCCAGCAGAATGGTTTCCTGCCACAATAGGATAAGAGATAAGATAATCTTTATTGTCATTTTTTACTATGAGCACACTGGCCCACATTAAAATGAAATTCTGTTGCCTGCTCTCAAAAGAAAGTATGTATATACCCATACACATACATAATACACATATACACATGCTATATACATACATACATATGTATGTATGTATAGACCTGCTGCATACATACATACCCACATAAATATTAATCACTGTCCATTTTGAATACATACCGGAAAGAGGAAAATTGAGAGTTCATCAGGTTGATGCTATGGAACAAAACTGTGGCTGAATCTGGATGTTCTGCTTCAGATACCACGAAGCCTCCTCCCAGAAGATAACAAGGAAAATAGGTCATGAAGAGGACATGTAGGGTCCCAGACATTCCTGTGGACCTTGCTCAAACATCGCTTATATGCTATGCCCTAGATAGAAGGAAGTGAATTACCAATAATCTTTTCTGGTATCCTCACCACTCTCTGCACCACCTTCCCATCTGAAGCAGTGATACTTCCAAACAAGTAGTGCAATATGACAGGATGATCTCAATCATCCCTCTGTAAAAAGTGGGAAGGAAGTTGTGCTTTCATCCTATGTTGACAGGTGAACAGATAAATGTACACAAAATATACTGAATAAAAATGGGGTTGTTAGCAATTTATTTTAATTTTCTGTGGAAAGGAGGGGAGAAAGTTTTGTTAGTCCAGGAGTTGTGGCATTTGAGAGAGCAAGATGCCTTGTGAAACTGACTTTTAGAACTTTTCTACTGTTATCCTAAGGGGAAACTATTTATTAGCACTGTGTTGAATCATAGTTTGAGGCATATTAGTGCCTTTGCTCGCCAGTTCCAAAAAGTTAGATCAATGTCTAAACAGTGTGGTCCCTAGTTAGGTTTCATCTATTTTACATCTTACAATTTTATGGTCTAACTGGGTAATGATAAACCTTATTGGAATTAATTTCTACATTTATTTTTATTATACCCCATATTATTCATATATATGATTATCATCAACATTTCAGCAAAAGTCACGTCTAGGTCCCCTTTATGGAATTTTTGCATAAAGTGGAAAAATAACATAATTTGTATTTTTGATTAGAAAAAATGGGATAATAGAAAAGAGTAAGCTTTCTTTTGTGATTATAAAGCAAGAGATAATTTAGTAATTGTGCTTATATTTGCTGGAAAGGCAATACAAAGTTTTATCTTTCTATTTCTTTTTATTTTTCCTTTTGCATTTGTGTTTCTTTTCTACTTTTTCTTTTTATTTGTTTGTGTTTTATGTTCTTTGTAATACTTTTAATAAAAAAATATTTTAAATACTTCCAGTAAAAGTCAACAAGAATTGTTTCTTACAATCTAATGTTAGATTGATGTTCCATTTCTGTCTATTTTAGACATATCTTGTTTTGATTTTTATTCTATATAAATGTGTGATCTGTTTCAGCAAATGTCCAATGTTTCCTTTACTTCGCTGTTCCTTTGCAAAGGCAAGTTTTATTGCTGAACTTTTGATAAAACTATTATATTGTCCCTTAGAAGAGAGTAGTTATACTTGTATCAGTTTTTGCTATTGTTATTAATCCTATATTTTGTATGTATGAATTATATTTTATCCCACTATACCAGATCACTCTGTATTTCTAATTTCTATAATTCTATGCAAAAAAAGATCATCAGATTGTTGACCTTGAGGGACTGAATTTGGAAGGAGGGCTTCAGGGAGATGAACAATTCACATTGGTCCTTAAGCAGACTGAATTGCTAAAGAACCAATCAGACTAATGGTTGTATAATCTAAAGAAAAATACAGTATTTTTGTAAATAAATTATGAACACATCATGAAATGGGAATATTGAATATTTGCATTGCAGATTATCAAAGATTTTCAGCTGCTGGTAATGTTATTACTGTTAGTTCTGGCTGATATTATCCTGCTCTTCATATGGATCTCCTTGGACCCAGTCCAGTGTCTCCAAAATCTTAATGTAGATGTGAAGGTAAGACAGAAAGATTCAAATTAGAGGACTGAATAGCAAATAATAAATATTAACTTTTTTGTTTGAAGAATGATGGGAAATGTACAAATTGCCCTGTTACTATAAAAAAATGGGATATTTCTGTTCCCCATGCGTCTGAGAAGCTTCTATGAGCATAATTAACACAAGTTATTCATGGATAATTTCTGAATTAAAAGTTGACAAGGCAAACCAGAGATTATCTGTAAGACATGTACACATACACACCGTTAAGAATATACCATTTTATTTATTTTATGTATTAGCTAACATCAGACTTATATTCTGCTTAAAATCTTTAGTACCCTTTGGTGTTCAGTTACTAAAATCATCACATTTTGTTACAACTTGCAATACTAGAATAGCCAAAATAAGACTGTTTCCCAGGAGAAGTTAATTTTTATAGTAAATTCCAAAAATTTAGAGTAAAAATATCCCAAATTTATTTGGAGCCTTAATCCATTTATAACTTTCCTAGACCAAAAATGTATGTAGATTTTTATTGTTTATTTTAAACTCTTTTAAGTTCGCAAGCTTAATTTTAATTAATTTTTTTGGTTCAGAGTTGAAGGTAAATTTACCTGATGAAGACTTTTTAAACTTGTCATTCCAAAGGTTTCTGATAGCTTTAAGATAATCAATAGGCAATTCCAAAACGGATTAGGGGTACAGATCTGCTTTTTGCGTAACTACAGAGAGGTGAGGGATATGAATCCTTTGGTTCAAGTATCTCTGATTAGAAAATATCCTTCCTGAGAACAATTACAAAACCGGTTGACCAGCAGACTCTGTATTTGCCAGGAAGCGAACATTTTAAAGTTACATTGCCCCATCAAATGTTCAAGGAGAAAGTTGCCAGCTAGGCTTTCTTTTAATGATGATGGGTCTCTGCATTCTTAAACTTGGGATTGTGAAGAAATTCAGTTGTTAGGACTGAATGTTGGTATATGTACAGTAAACGGAATGCCTCTGCACATGTCAAGAATAAATTAATTTTTAATTATGAAATGTAGTTTCTCCCAGCTGTAAACCAAGATTTGCAGAACAGAAGGATTCATCTGAGCCGCAAGAAAAGTAATTTGAACGTTAAGCTTGAATTTTAGAATCTGAAGCAGTTCTACAAGAAAATGCCCAATTTAAACTTTTTGGATCTTAATGTTTATATTGATTTTTTTGTCATTACTGAGTTCACGGAGAATATCTATGAGGTCACTAAGGGTTAAACCTGGCTTGGTAGTACACAATCACTATTGCATAATCCCAAGGAATCCCCTCCAACTGCAAGAATAAATTGTGCTGTGCACTATTTGGACCAAACTCAAAAAACTCAATAGCAGCCATGTGATCTTGCTTGATGAGGGAATTGTCAGACTAGTTGCATTCTTGAATATAGTGAGGAAGAACCCAAGGAATGCACTTAGATACCTGTTTCTGGGCTAAGAATTGGTAAAACAAAAAAGCTATTTTTGAGGATTTCCAGTAGCAAACAGCCAAAAAAAAAAAAAACAACCCCAAAATGTTTTGAGCATTGTAAAATCCAATGAAGGATTTTAACAACATTATATAACTATTAAAGATAATTGGCCTAGAAAAGATACAATACTTCCTCCTTAGAATGCTTAATTTTGAAATGAAAGGTGCAGTACTTACTTTTGTTTTTCTCTGGCTGAACATTTAATAACAAATTACAGAAATCACTAGCACAGCGGTTCTCAACCTGTGGGTCGCGACCCCATTTGGGGTTGAATGACCATTTCACGGGGGTCGCCAAACAACGCAGTCCGCCATTTTCCCCCCTTTTCTTTAGCTGTGCTACTCCCTCTTATTCTATTGGCTTTTGAAAGCCAATAGAATAGACTCTGTTCGAGAGACTCTATTCTATTCGAAAGCCAATAGAATCTATTGGCTTTCGAAAGCCAATAGAATAGACTCTCTTGAATTGTCCAGGCTGTCTCTGCCCTGCTAAGCCCATCAAAAGCCCAGTCTGGAAACGGTGCTGCAAGTTGTCTGCAGCTAAGGCGAGGTTTCTGGACGTTTCCACCCCTCCCTGCTGAGCAACTACTAAATGTAAGTAAAAGAGGGCCAGGGGTGGGAGGTGGGAGGCCGGTGGGCGCAGGGAGGGTTGCTGGTGGCTTACCTCCCTTGGGCTGGGCCAACTGGTAGCCCAGCCGGTGGTTGACCTGCGCCCTTGCTGCCGCATTCCATGACCACCCAGGAGCGCCTGGGCCTGCCTACTGCCACACCGAATGTGCGGGGCAGCGGCGGGCGCAAGGAGGGTTGCTGGCGCGCGTGGGCCCGGCAGATGCCTTACCTCCCTTGGGCTGGGCCAGCTGATGGCCCAGCTGGTGGTCGGCCTGTGCTGTCGCTGCTGCTTGCCAGCTACGCCTCGGCCGGCACAGGGGGCGGCACCACACATGTGCGGCGCTCCCGGGCTGAGGCAGTTGCTGGGCGATGGCCCGTGTGCAGCCGCAGGAGGGGAGGCGGAGCGTGCGGGCCTCCTCCTGCCCTGCCCGCAGGGAAATACAGGTAGTCCTCAACTTACAACCACATGGTTGGGGTCGCGGCATTAGGAAGGTTGAGAACCACTGCACTAGCATATAGTGAGACAAATAAATGATAAGGAGTATGAATGAAAAATAGTGTTTGTGGATCTATATCTATTATCTATAATAAATCTCAATGTAGCTGGTCTGGTCTTACAGAGTGAGATTGAATACATGTAGGAAAGAATAGGTTTAGTTATGAATGAAAGAGCTAAACGTATGCTTGAAATAATAAATTGGTGTCATCTAGGTTCTTGTGAGTATTAAGAAGGAATCTATTGGTCATAGTTGTATTGCTGTACTTCAGTGACTGATAATGAAAGAATCAAAAAGTACTCAGAAGATATGAATGAATGATACGACAAAACTAGATAATACAAAAATAAAATCATTAGGCCATTTGTAGACTCTAGAATGAATGAGAATTGTGACTGGCAAAACTTAGAAAAAGGGTTTTTGGTTTTGAATACATGATTTAAACAAAAATCTGCTCATGCATACATGTGGAAAAGGAATGAGGTGGAAAGTATTGGTTTTTTTCCCTCCTAAAATAGTGTTGGACTAGCAGCTTCTTTAGCTAGCTCTGGAGATATTTTCATTTTATTCAGCTTAGCTTTTGTTATTGTTTTCTCATTCTTGAAATCCTATTTTATCTTATTTGAATTGCTCTTAAGATTTTACCTATTTTATACATTTAAACTCCTGACCTGCAATTTAAAAGCATCTGACACTATGGGTAGGAAAAAGAAACAAAGAACCAGCTCTGGATATTTGAAATTAGTCAAAGCAACAAAATAACCTGAAATTAAGGAGAAACTTCCTAACAGTGAGGACAATTAACCAGTGGAACAGTTTGCCTTCAGATGTTGTGAGCTTCATCACTAGAGTTTTTTAAGAAGAGACTAGACAGCCACTTGTCTGAATTGATACAGGGTTTCCTGCTTGGGGGGGGGGGGCTGGACTAAAAGACTCCAAGGTCCCTTCCAGCTCTATTCTGATTCTGAAAACAACAGTAGATTAATGAGTTTTTCATCTCAAAAGTTTTCTACTGAGAGCAATTTCCAGTAAACAGTTACAAAGTGCTCTCCCAGCAATCGGATTAAATGCCAAATTTTCTTCTCCATAATGAAAATTATGGACTCTTATGCACACTGGCTATTCTGAAGAAAATATATTGCCTTTTAACTATTAATTATTTCTGTAAAACTGAGAATCTGAAGAAAATCTTTGATGTCTTTAGAGGATTCTCTCAAGAAAAATACAAGCAAATTATTCCCAACCTTTTAATTAATAAGCAGCCAGTAAACACCAAATGTTGTGTTCTCTTAAGCTCAGATAATAAAAGGAATATATCAATATGGACATTTATTTATTAAATTTCTACGCCACCCATCTCACCTAAATGAATTTACAACACTATAATAAAATAAGTTCTGCCTTTTTGTAATAACGGTATAACTGGGAAGATGAATATCCAAAGACTTTGTCCTTTTTTTTTCTAAGCCAATTATTTCATAGCTATTGACCTTTGTTCATATTAAATTGAACTATAATTGGCAGACAATGATTTAGTTGTTTTTTTTTTTAGAAATCTAACATTATACCATCATCATCATACTTTTAAAACTGAGGATTTTTCTGAAGATTTTTGAAATTATCCCTATTTGGGTCTTTACGATCAAAATGTGAGAACCTTTCTAAATAACATTACATCAGCTCATACACTTCAAGATGTCTCCTATACCTCGACAGTTGTCAGATTTCTTCTGCCTTATCTCTGACCTTGACAGCAGGAAGTGTAGATAAATGTTTCACCAACATAAGGAAAATATTGCTTGGTCCTTTTGAAAAGGAACCAATTATCTCTTACAGCGTGATGACTAAAGATAAACAGATATTATTCAAAATTGAAGGGTTTGCCCAAGCTGTGAAAAGGTCCAAGAGAAAGTAAAGCAGGAAATCTGGTTTCTAATTCTAACCAGAATTACAAGGTTAGTAAGTGCATTCTGTTAATGCTAGCCCTAGTGTGTCAGTCCCAAGTAGACCAGATAAGAAATACAGACCAGGTAATTCTATTTTAATGTAAGGCTGTGATAACAGATTCTTGTAAGCCTGAAAGTACAAATATCCTGCCATCTCCTTTACTGCCTGAAAACTTCTGAGCCTCTTCTGCCCATTATACAACTGTGGATTATGCCCTGTTTTATCTGACCATCCCCTAGACAGAATCTCTTTCCTGGGTCCCAAAGTCATTGCCACATACCATTACAAATGCCACAACTGATTAGGCATCTCGTATGAAATGACCTTTTGAATCTGATCATATAATTGGAGTCAAGTGAATACCCAGCAATAGATTCTAGAGTCAGTTGAGTCAGGCATGATGTTTTCATTATAAAGTCTAACTTTCCTCTCACAGATTGCTTTCTGGATAGAACA